AAGCAACAATCACATTAGGAGGTCTAGACAGTGCAAGTTACACAATACACACATAGCCCCTGTGTTCACCTGGAGGCTGTGGCTCTACAGCAGCTGTTGTTATTTCACCTTGGACTCTTGCACCAGAAAGTAACCTGGTGTCTTCCCAGGACACCTGGCTTTGAAATGATGCAGTGGTTCACAGATCATAGTAGTCAGTGCACCCTAAAATACAGGTAATTTGCTTCTCACAAGCTTGTTTGCTTTAATATTCATGGGAGCACAATCCCAGCTCCTCTGTTTCTGAAATTTTTCAAACTATTCTATGTTCTGTGTTTGCCTTTGCTCTTGAGAGTCAAGCAGTGCATTGGGGGTGACTGGGTGTCACTCCTCCACTAGCTGCCACCAAGTAGATGAAAGACTTTGCTGTATACCAAGTAAGAGCAATTTCATGTTCTCTTTTTGTTGCTAATCCCTACAGTGTGTATGCATAGTACTGCTCAGGAATCACAGATGATCATTGTCTTTCCTGAAGAAGACAGAAAAATAAGAAAACTCTGCATATACAGAATTTTTCAGTATAGAATCAAGTCAGTAATATACCCGCATTTTGAAAAATATTACCAGAATAATTATCATTGAGAAAGGTGAAGGAACACAGGCAAAAGTGTCTGAGTACTGATGCCCAGAAGATCAGCACTTTCTGCATTTTCCTAGCTGGAACCAGGGAATTTGTTACCCACTCCAGGAAAGGCCTGATGGAACTCACTCTTTTTAAAAAAAGTGAAGCCACAGAGTGAACACCATGAACACCTGTGGCAAAAACAAAACCAAACCAAAAAACACCTGCAAGCTCATTTAATTCATCAGCTTATGAGTAGATTTCTCACATGAACTGAAAAGTGCACGATTCAATGAATGGTACACGAGCTAGGCCCAGTGTTATAAGCCCACTTTTGATGGAAGTTCCTACAGCAGTCTACCTAATGTTGCTGATGAGGGTAAAAAGAAAAAGGCTTTTTCTTTGGGAATAGATAGTGCCAAAATAATGTCATTTTATATATGTAGGCTACACTTTGCTTAAATAAGCTGGTCACAAGCTATCTTTTCTCTCCTTCCACAACTTATACATCTAAGGAGAAAAGATGTGTACTTTCAATCAGACCTTTATTTACTGTTGAAGACAAACATTTAGTTAATTGAAAAAGAAAGTAAAAATTGTGATCAATAATATAACAAGCAAAGGGAAATACAGGTTCAGAATTTCATTTGGAAGTTAAGCAGAAATCAGTTTTACTTGTATATTACAAAGGCATTAATTACAGTTCCTTGGATACTAATAATATAACAGTTTGTAAACAAAAATCCGATAAAAAAAAATCAACACCAATAAGTTGGCAACTGAAGAGTGAAGAAACATTGTGCAATTTATAGGCATATCCTTTCTCTTAGGAGAAGTCCAGTCAACTAATGAACAAGATGTTACTGATTCTGTATATACAAATATTATTCTTTTATTTTTTTTAAGGCTTTTTTACACTGGCAATAAGTAGAGAATCCTCCTCTGTGATTAGAATTATACTTGCTGTTACTTCCTGTCTACCTGGAATTCTTGGTATAATACTTCATGGAAGAGACTTTAAAGTCCATCTAGTTCCAACCCCCCTGCCATGGAACGAGACATCTTCCACTAGTCCAGGTTGCTCAGAGCTTCATCCAACCTGGCCTTGAACACTTGTGATGTGCTAATTCCTTAATGTGCTGTAGTTGGGTTTTTTTCATTGTATGTTTCTATAGAGCATCATAACTAACATCCTGGGGTTTTATAGGTCAAGATATTTGTCCATTGGGTGGTGATTTCTCTGGTCTCTTATCAGGTGCCCTCCTTCCTAGAAAGCCACTGGCATCAAAGGGTGGGTCAGACGTGTTGCTTTGACAGTTGTCTCCTGTTTGTGGCCATTTTCTTTTCCAAGGGCTTTGTGGTTTCTCCTCATCTTTTGATGGTCTGTCATGTGGTAAAAGAAAAGCTATGGAAAAGTTCTTCAAAGGAAAGCTGGCAACCAGGAGTGAGTCTGCCACAGCTGGAACAATTCATCCTGATCCTTGTCCAGATCCACATTAATTGCTCCAGTGGTTGCAGCCTTGTTGCCAGCTTCGTCCTTCCCAGGAGGTCCTCAGGCACTGGGGCACAGACAGGATGTCTGCATGGTCTTTATGTCTTTGTTTGTTGCAGTTGATTTTTGGGTGTGTAGTAGACCAAACACTTTCCCAGAAAGAATCTTGATTCTGTGTGTGGATGTGCAGTTGCTGTCATAGTAGGCATAGTGGACAAGATCCAGAGAAGGAATTGCAAAGTGTGCTTTACTTCAGCCCCTCAAAAAAAATAGGTCAAACTCCCAGCAGGCCACTCCTGGTGCAGAATTTAATTGTACTTTCACTAAAACAGAAAACATGCCAAAACAATGAAGGGATTATAAAGAAAGGAAAATAAAACTTTAATCATTAATTAAGCACTCAGAAGATAGGATAAGACAATTCATTAGTCATACACAAGCATCTCACTCTCTGTTGCACTGAAAAACTTGTTTTCCTTATTATATTTCCATAATATCTAGATTCCTAGAATCATAGAATGGCTTGGGTTGGAAGACACTTTAAAGTCCAACTAGTTCCAACCCTCTTTCTGTGGGAAGAGAGGCCTTTACTAGACCAGGCTGCTCAGAACTTCATCCAGCCTGGCCTTGGACACTTCAAATGATGGCTAATTCCTTAATATAGTGTAGTTGGGTTTTTTCCTTGTATGTTTAGATAATTGCTTCTAGCATCAGGTGGTAGAAGCTAAATAGGAATTTAGCACATTTCAATTCAGCATATTGCATATGGTGGATGGGAGGAGCAAAATAAATCGTATGAAAAGTTACTTTACAAGCTGACTTTAATGGATGGTCAGTGTTGCTGTGCTTATAAGTCACAGTGTGGGTATGTAAGCACTTTCAACTAGTGCACAGCCTTTATTTAAAATATTTTATATCATTTTGAATAGAATAGAATAGAATAGAATAGAATAGAATAGAATAGAATAGAATAGAATAGAATAGACTGTTTCAGTTGAAAGGGACCTGCAACAGCAGTGACCAGTTCATGACTGACCAAATGATAAAGCATGTTCTTAAAGGCATTGTTCAAATGCCTGTTCAAATGCCACTGACAGGCTTGGGATACACCAACCACCTCTCTAGGAAACCAGCTCCAGTGTTTGACCACCCTCTTGGTATAGATCTCGTCTGGTTGGGAACTTAAGGGCATATCATCAAAAGTAAAAATTTTGAAAAATTCTGCATATCCTGGGAGAACCTCACCATTGAATCAGCAGAGGCAGCCTGGTATTTTTGATGCTGTAACAATATCCATACAGACCAGTCTCTGAGGTGGTAGAGAGCCCTGCTCATAAGAACATAATCATACAAATTCCACCCACAGACAATTTTTCTAAAGAATTTTAGTGTTGAGCTGTTGTCATTAAGATTTGGGAGTCATTATATTGACATTTATGCCTGTTTGTGCTGGAGAGCTGTTAAATGCAGGAACATAAAGTCCAGTGAACCATCACATGAAGTAATGGTTTATCTGTGTCACTACTTTTTTTAAGTAGAGCACAAGGGTACGGTTATTCTCTGTCATCCAGAAAAAGTTGTATAAAAATAGGAATGCTCATATTCATCGTTGTTCTGTTACTTTACAATATCAAGATATTTTATACTGCTGTTCATAGTTGATCATTATATTAGCCAGTCTATGAGCAAAGAATTGTGCAGGCCCTTTATGTTATTTACATAATGTACTAGGTATGAATAGCACTATTTTCCTTAGGATAAAGAAGGATGAAATAGCGGTAGAGCACTGAACCAAGGTAAATGAGCATTTTTAAGTGATTTTAGACAGAATATCATAGTACAATAATTGTCTTAAAAAAAACAAACATAACAAAAATCTTCAACAATTACTTAGATTTATTAGTTTTTATAAGGCAATAAGTAAGCTATTCACTACTGTCTCATTCATCAAGTGAGTTCTTCAGGAAAAGGCATCTTGTCAGGTGCTGCAGAAAAATCTCTGAGCAGTATCAGTACTGTTAATGCCTCAGATAATGACTGCAAGGATTGTAAAATAATACATTATTTTCTAGCAAGCATTGTTCATAATTATATCACTGATAAAGGCAAAGCATATAAAATGTTATGTTTTAAATGTGTCCTTTAATTAGAATAAAAATGATATGGAGATAATTTCAGTGGTAGCTGTGTGATTCTTCTGAATGCACAATGTAAAATTTTTGCATATATTCAGGATGAAAGGAGTTATCACTCTAAGCTATTCACTTATAAATTTTCATTTAATACTCATGGTATATCAGACATTATAGATCATTCACCATTTTGCTTTATGACAGAGCAGAAAGAACCCTGATAACTATGCTGTGTCTAAAATGTAGTTCACTCATTTACCTGCCTGCTTGGACTGAACTGCAGAATCTTAATTTGCTGTCATCGTTTCCATGATCCTTTGCTCATGTCACAATTGTTGTTACAATGAACACATTGCATGTACAGCATAGCCTTCATCTACTCAAGGCAAAGCACAGACCCTTTCATCCTTGCAAAATGAATAATTAAACTAGGATTTTAATATTTGTGCTTGCTTTTGGGTTTATTAGCTCTAACTATGAAAGCTAAATCAATTATTTTGTATGCTCCATCTGACTAACTCTTGAAAAAATAGACTGGTGTTTTCCATTTATCTGTTGTGGCTTTAAGCTATCTTAAAATAGCACTATTGAAGAAATGGACTCTGCCGATTGAATAAGTGACTTTCTTATTATTACAAGTTTCGGGTTTGCAAAAGGACCAGAAGTGTAAAGCAAAATCCAGGAAGATGTTTGTCACTGATAAGGTCCTATGGTGGCAATATCATTCTTCTGCTGTACCTGCCTCACTTGGATTTGCGTATTTTTGTTTCTGCAGAGCCCAGAGGAAGGAGCCTCTACAACCATCTATGCAGCAGTGTCGCCCGAGCTGGAAGGAGCTGGTGGTTGCTACCTTTACAATGAGGAAAGGACAAAATCGGCTGACGTGGCATATGATGAGGAGCTGCAGAGAAGGCTCTGGACAGAAAGCTGCAAGATGGTTGGGATTTCTGATGAAGCCAGCAGGCTTCCATAGAAGAAGCCACTTTCAGCTGGGTAAATGAAATGCATTGAAAAGCATCTTAGGTGAATTCTTGCAGCATCAGTCATCATCCTGGAAATCACTGTTCAGTCCCAAAGGCAAACATGAACAGCTCTGTTCTTCACTTGAATCCCTAATCTGCTAGGGTGTGGGGGGAATATTCCCACAGAAAGGTGTAGTGGTTGGTTTTAAATCTAACCATCAGTTTTGTAAATCATTCTGTTTCAGTCTGTGATTAAAATACAATCTTTAAACATGTGCAGAGATGAGTTTTCATTGTTTTGTTCAAAAAAAAAAAAAATGCTTGAGCATGTTGTGCTGGGAGGCTTTTGAATTTAAATCACCTTTGTACATATAAGTTACTCTTTTAAATCAGTTTTAAAAGTTGCAGCTTTATTTCCTTAAGCTTCATTAATATTTAAGACACTTTCATCAGCTTATTCTAATGTAGAAATTTGGCATTCATGATCATGATGTCGTTCTGTCTTAAGGTTGCTTTTATATGTCAGCTTTTATCCAAAGGTATTAACTGAAGGTCAGAACAACAAGAAAAAGTAAATAAATAAGGTCTTCTTCAAACAGGATACTGAATTCACTTGTTTCCAGTTTAAGTTCATCCCTCCTATAAAGGTGAGGAAGGGATCAAACATCGTCATGGTAACATTGGCTTTGGCAGAGGATGTAGTCAGCCTATTGTCTTGTCAGTGGGCTAAGATTTACTTGTCCCCTTTTCTCCTGAACACCTGTAATGTTGCATCTGCACTTTCATTAATTTTCTTTGACAAGGAGAGTCACTCATGTACTGTTGCATGAAGAATCATCTCCTTTAGTTGGTTTTGATCCTAGTTCATATTAGTTTCAGAACTAGAATTCATGGTTTGGAAGAGACAGCAATTAATGCCAGCCCACTTTTTCCTCTTTCTGAAGATGTACAATGCATCCTCCCTAAACTGTGTCTTTGCCATTTTTAAGAGTAGCCCCTGCCTACTCATCCAACTTTCATAGGAGCAAGAAGGTATTTTCCCATTAGTTGTGTAAGTCTTTCCTAAAATTTCCTAGGACCTGTTTTATTTTTAATTTTATTTGACTGTCTCGTATTTGAGTGTGGAGCTGATATATTTTAGGAAGGTATTTTCAGCAAACACTAGGGTTTCCCCCCTCAGTGGGACAGCATTTGGTTCAGATGCTATCAGTTTTGAACACACTTCAGCTGTATACAGTTCAGGGAACTCCACCTATGTCTACCAAAGAGAATCTTTAAGAATGATGTTCACATTCATGGACTAAAATACTAAACAGACAGTGGGCAGTACAAAGACAGCTTGAATTTATACAAGCTCAAATAACTAGAAGAAAAAAACTGGATTGAATATAGAAATATTTTAATGGAAATGGTGGTAAACCATGAGAATACTTCCCTGGACAGTTTCAGTCAATATCTTAAATCTCACAAAATCATCTGGAATTGTCTGGGAAGACCTAACAGCAGCCTTAGGGTACTTACAAGGGAATACAGGAAAGATGGGCAGGATGGGCTTGGGCAGTGTAGTGACAGAATGAGGGGTAATGGCTCTAAACTGAAAGAGAGAAGATTTAGGTTATACATTAGAAAGAAATACCTCATTGTCAGGGTGCTGAAGCACTGGGACAGGTTGCCCACACTAACTGTGGGTGTCCCATCCATGGAAGTTTTCAAGATCAGGTTGGATGGAGCTTTGTTGAGTGAAAGATGGCCCTGCCCATGGCAGGGGAGTTGGAAACAGATGATCTTTAAGGTCCATTCCGATCCAAACCATTCTGTGATTCTTTCATCTCTTCTCAGTGAGTCTTTCCAAACATGGGATGTGTGTCTAGGGAGCTGGAGGTCTTATTGTTAATGGAGTAAGGTCTACCCTACTTCCATCTTGTTGATTTTAGGTGCCATCTAAAAGAGCCACACAACCCTATAAATGTCCTTACATTTCCTTTTTTCAAAATACACAGGGAAAGAGACTAATATGTGGGCATAAGTCTTATATTAATTTTGAGGAGCTGAAGATCACTGCATGACAGAACCAAGTGCAAACACAGCATTGTGCTCTCATTTGCAGCAGACTAGAAACAGTAGGAACATGTTCCTGTGCACTGAACCCTGGACTAATATCCCTTTTGGGCTTTTTAGCTCAAACTTAGTACTTCACTCCAAGTGACCTTATCTCTAGCCTTTGGTTCAGAGGAAGACCACATCTGAGTGAAAGTAAACATGCTTATATGTCCAGAGTCTAGGAAGAAGATGCACTGATGAAAAAAAATAAAAACCAGTATGAACAAAGAAGAGCATCTGGGAACAAAAATAATAAACAAATTGAGGGAGAGTATATTTCCTGTCTGAATTAAGCCATGGATGATCTATTTTTGTCTTAGAGTTGGTATATACAAGGGTTAGCAGCAGGAGATTTATCACTCAGTCACTATAGCACTTTCTCTGTATGACTGGCTGACTTTTTTTTGGTAAGTGAATGTAGTGCTAGTGAAATGTGCCAGACTGACACTCCAGGAACTAAATTCCTCTGTTTATTCACGGATCATGCACAGGATGCAGTAAGCCTGCTAGACAGCCAACATTTTGATGTTGCCATAGCATTCCCATGGAACATCATTGCTGCTAACAGTGTGTCCAGGATTACTCAAACTAGATGGGATGAGATTATCATCAGTTTTAACTCTCTTGAAGCTCCACAATATTTGCCCAACCAATTTCAAGTGACATAGGGATTAGTGAATTAACAAAGAGTAAAGAGAGCTAGTCATACTTTCAGTGTAATCGGAACCAATTTATTAACTGCCTCAGTCCAGTGAAATCTGTTTTAAACACAGAAAACATGGTGTGTGAGAATCAAGAATACAGATGTGGCTGAATGAGGGGAAAAAAACGAGTCCTAAGGCCAGGGATTTCTAGAGCATTGCAGTTCATGAAAATACAGTTGAGCTAGTTGCAAAACTGTTATCTCAGGAACTAAGGGCAGAAAACTGTGTCAGCTTTGCAGTGTCACACAAGCGCACGTGAGCTGATCTGGAGCAAAACCCAGTGTTGTTATAAAGTACTCCCAGTGTGAATGAGAATAATCACTCGTGATACTGCTGCAAAAATCCAAAATAGTTCTTAACATATCTATCTAGGGAAAAAATACATGAAACATGTAAAAAGATGACAATGGTTTTACTTTTGCACAGATAAACGGTTAGAGCTGATTTAATTTCACATTTCAAGGTCATGGGATTTACAGAGATCTGGGCAAGGCTGTATTTCACGTCAATGAATATATGGTTGAGAGGTGGCTTTGCAGTAGGTACGTAAGTGTAGAAAAAAATACCTGAGAGCTCTTTAACCTTGCAAAGAAATGCTAAACAAGTCCCAGTAATGGTAAATTGAAAGTAAACAAATTAACCTCCAACATGAAAGCAGATCCTCTCTGAGAGTGATTTCCTATCAGAACACGTAGATCTGATATCTGAAGATAATTAAAAGATGCCTCTGAAATGACACCTGGCAAATAGGCCAGGTACGCTCCTAAAAAATGTAGGTCAGTCACAGTGAAGCCATACTTAGATTCTCCCTCACGCCCACAAGACAGCACTTATTTTGATTAGTATGAGAGTGACCCATTCCTCACAACTTCTACAATGGATATTTCCCTGCCAGTACTCCTCCCAGGCTAATATTTGGTTCAGAAATTGAAGTCCCTCTACCTTGGCACACAAAATCTATTGTCCAGTTCAAGTCTGAGATAAACAGAAGCATCCACTAAGTACCAAGATGATCTGAGCCTACTGCCTTTGGTAGCAGAGTAAAACAATGTCAAATCAATTTTTTTTCCTCTTAAAAAAGGATTACAAATTTAAAAGTAAGAAAAAAAATCTCTGCAAAAGGACCAAAAAAAGATGACTCCTGTTATGAGGGATAGTTCAAATAAATATAGATCTCACAGGAATGAATGGATTTTATGGGAATGAATGAAGTTGTCTAGGAATTTGATAAGGCAATGTTATTTAAACAATGAAGTTGTACAGGAAATAAATAACATGCTGAAAAAAGCACTCTAAGGTTCTTATTAAAAAAAAAAAAAAGAATAATTTCCTCAATAATTAACTACTTTATTTGTCAGCTGTGGGGAAATTATTTATAAACTGAAAAGGTAAGTGCTATAATTTTTCGTGTGAATACACTGTTATTTGCACATAATGAAGTAGCTACATTCTTGTTTCCAGTTCTATACTGACTTTAAGAGCTAGATATGGAGCCACCAGCCACACTTCCAAAAAGGTATTTTATAAATATTTAGACTTCATAGTTGACTCTTTACACAACTATTAATTACTTTAGCACACAGTGAGAATTGATATTGTAGAAAAAAAGGACTTTGTTATTTAACATCAGGTTTGCTGCCACCTCTTCCAAATGCACAGTAGTGTTAACTCTAAATATAACAACACATGGCGTATATTTAAATGTTCATCCTTATAATAAGAATGAAAATAAATTTTCTACATACTGGCTCTTGTTCAGTTCTGGTGTTAGGCTGCCCTTGATTGTTCTATGACATGGTTTCCACTATAGCTGCCACCATGGAAAGACAAAAATCAGATTCCAGTGAAGCTAACATGAAATTTGCCACAGCAAAGACAGAACTCCCATGATTTTAAGAGGGTGAGGCTGAGTATACTTACCCATCCGCAATAACTGAGGAAGTCAGTGCAAAACACATATTGTACAGCATCAGGCCAGGCAAGATGGGCAAGCCACAAACAATTCTTTGAAGGTAATTTTATTCCTTTTTAAAACAAGTGTACTGTGCTTTGGCAATCTACTGCAGCAACACTGAAGGAAAGTAACAAGAAGAAAACAGACCAGTGTCCAAGAGTGCTGTTTCCAAATACATATAGTTATTGGCTTCCATACTGTACCAACCCTTGTTGGCTTCTCTCCCTTTGGAAATGGGCCTTAGCCAAGAATTCCTTTCACACAGACAATCAAGAAGAGTCAAAATGCAGCTCTGACTCATTTATTTAGACAAACTGTCTAGATTGAAACCAATAATTTTAAAGTACGTGATTTCCTAATTTCGGAAAGGAAAAAGTAAACAAAAAAAAATAGCAAAAAACCAGGCTATGACGCTTTTTGAGTGGTATTAAACCTTGCCACCTCCTCACAGTCAGAATGCAAGACACTTTAAGATGGTAAGCTGCCTAATGTCCTTTCCAAAGAATACAGATAAACA